ACATGATAGATGAGCTTGAGAGCTAAAAGTCCAGCTGAATGAGTGAGAAGACTGTCTGAAGATGTAGAAGTGCCTTCTAACAGAATGTAAGACTCAGCTGACAAGTCTGAAGAACTGACTCAGTAAATGCAAGACTCTTTTAACTGAACACAAGAATCAGCTGGCAAGTTTGAAGAAGCAATTCAATGATCATGAAACTCTTCTCAACAATCAAGAGAATCAATTAGTGGAGTGGGAGAACTGCTTTAACAGCAAGGGTTTCAATGAGTGCTCTATCACTTTCAACATCTGATCAGCATCCCTGCCACGCGGATCCAGAGGAGGCGGCCGGGGATCACTCAGAGCCATCAGCTTCAAACTGTGGAACTCTTTCTTCAGAGCATGAACATGTCTAAGCTGTGATTCAAAGGTTGCTTGAGCTGTTGAAAGCTTCTAAGCTTTGCAGCCCTTCTTATACGAATTAACTAGTGCGGTAGCGTACGCCATCCTTGATAATAGGGGGTGGCGTACGCCACGGAAGAATAATAAGCCGAAATTACTACAAAGCAACTGATCAGTGAGTACAGAACAATTTACTTACAACTCTGATGGTAATAGAATCAGATAAGATGCTGTCACACCCTTGGTTGTGCCAAGGCCCCGTGACGGCTCCACACGGCCCATCGCTTCCCCTCGGATAATCCCATCTATCCCATAACGTCACGCAGGTGTCCGAACCGGTTTCCAACTACCCTATGACATCATTTGGATGCAATAGAAGAGGATCCGATTGATGGGATATGAGAATCCTGTTTCTATACGGGGTCAGTAGATTCCTTCTGGCAGATCAATGCAGCGCCACTGCGGAGTTGCTTCGGCTACCCTCGCTCATAGAGTGAGGGGAGGATGGCTGCACGTTGTCTATATAGAATAGTTAGATGCTGGCTCTCTATTCCAGGAGCCAGCGATTCGTCTTTTATCTTTTGACAATAAGATACCAGAGTTACCACTGTCCTCATACAATATTCTTAGTGTGCCGAGTACCTCTGGTAGTTCAGTATTTGTATAGTATTCTACGAGTTCGCGGTTCAAGCGAGATAATCAAGCCCACCCATAAGGCTTTCCATTATATACCATCCTCCTCTGTGCCGCTGCCGAGTAGCAATCGCCTCGGCGCCGTCACATTACAAAACAGCTCATATAACTCTGATGAAGATTTTCTAACAAATGACAATTTCACAGCATCTTTTATACAGTATATGAAAAATATTGAAAAAGTTTTTAACAATCTGTGTATACATTTATCAATTCAATACTTAGCTCTGCAAGCAAAGCAGTAAACATTCATTCAATCAAAATTAAATAATTGATAACAATGAATGTAAAAATGAAAGCTGCAGAAAACAGATCAGCAATTGTAAATGATTAGAAAATTAACAATTGATTCAGAAATAATTAAATTAATTCAAATGTTGAAATCATTAAAAGTTGACTAATTCAGTGAATTTATATATATATGATCAGCAAGCTCATCTGCTGCAGAAACTGCAGTGACAGCTGTCAAATAATGATATTTGACATCATAAACATGTTCATAATTAAAAGCTCAGCAGTTGATCAGAGGGGTATGAAATGAGTACATTAATATATAGATTGTAATGAATGTAGAGAAGAGTATAAAGAACATAAATACAATAGAGAACATTTGTAAAGAAAATAATGAAGATTAATATCAGAGCTGTACAGGCCGCAGAGCCAGCTGTTCAATCTTATCTCAGTTCCTCAGCCACTTCGCTTCGTAAAATTATAAGCTAACTCCTTTTGACTTCTGCCAAGTGCTGAGATCTTCTGGACCAATCATAATCTACATGGCTTAAACTAGTCTTAATTAGGAAAGAGGAAAATTTTCCTTCGCGAAGCGTCTGAGAAAGAACGGTCGCGTGTTGTTAGTAACCCCGGGTCATTTTGAAGGGATGGCCAACTTTGCTCCATGCGCCAACTCCATCCTTATCAATTGACACAATTCGGCATAGCAAGGGAGATTTGTCTATCAAAAAGCTATAGAACACACTATTTTTTATTATGATAGGAGCCCTTTTGAGGTACGAACAACCGTGTCAAAGATGGTCACTTCGTGTTTTTTCACCAGAATGTATACTGATTTTTCAAAAATAATCTATAGATTCTCAACCACATATCCTATCAGCAAGATAAACATACTCGGATGCTCAGAATTAAGCCTAGAATGTCCGACTACCAACAAATAACATTCTCTTGATGATACTACCTCTCAGTCAGACCATCTGGTTTCTGTGGCACAAAGTAGGGTTATACCTTACACAGTGAACCCCTGCAAACCTCTGCGACCTCCCATAGGCTTCTATGAGCTCCTGATAATATCTTCCAATTATTGAGAATCCTGTGAGATGGTTCGTGGCAAATCAGACCCCACACCGGACCGTCGGAAACGGCGAAGTCGACATCAAATACGGCACAGAAGGGCTGCACTGGCAGAGCCACAAGACATTGAAACAACATTATCACCTAGCGCTCTAGATGCTATATTAGTGATGGATATCCAAAGTATGCCTGAATTAATTGGGAAATACTCACATCCAGACCATGTTAAGCAGCAGTATAGTGTGATTGAGGCATGTCTGAAGCGGCTGCTAAGAGATGGAAAGCCAGAAAGTACCCTCTGTCCTCATCCAGAACAGGTCCGTACTGTACGGCGATTAATATATGGATATGGTGACACTCTGTTTATTGCGCGGACTGGGTTTGGCAAAAGCCTTATTCTTCATTCCTATTCAATATTAACAGGAAGGATAACCATCCAACTTGTTCCATTGACTGGACTTGGTGAGCAGCAACAACGGGATATTGCTGAATTCCCAGGGGCACGGCCTTGTATGATCACTGCAGACTCCAAGAGAGCTGAACACTCATGGTTGCAGTCCATTCAACGGGGGTTATATACCCATGTTCTTCTCAGCCCAGAGCAGGCTCTCTCCAAGGTCTTTAAGGGAGCCTTGATGAAGCCTGACTTCCAAGCACGGATTGGACTTGTGGCTATTGATGAATGCCATCTTATACATCAGTGGAAGAACTTCCGTACACAATTTGCTATGCTGGGACAGTTAAGGCTCTTACTTCGTGAGGATATTGTCTGGTTTGGCTGTACAGCAACAGCCAGCAGTGCATGTGAGAAAGATATCCTATTGAATGGTGGATTCCGAGCAATTGGTAACAAGCCTTGTGAGACTGAGATAATCCGAACATCTATCGATCGACCAGCCATAAATTGTGTGAAATCCTGCAACCTGCTGATAGTGCCACGGTTGCGACGAGGGCCTTGTTTTTGAACATAGTATCGGCGTTGGGAAGGACTGTTGTTGGACTCATTGTCTAATCCAGAAGATTCCTCAGTATCATCCACTGTCTCATAACCATCATTGATGTCTGATGAAGGAGGAGGTGATGATAACTCAGAAGAGTATGCGCCGGACGTGAGGTCAAAGAGGCCAAATGAGGAGGTATTTTCAACTGGAGTTTCCATGCTGGTATTAGGCTGTGATAACTTTTAGGATAGTACAAGTTGTAGATAATATATAAAAGAATTGAATGGTATGGTTTTCAGTCAGAAAACCTGTGTGGTTGATGTCGATGTATGCCTTCGCAGATAGAGGATGAATTTGTATGGTGGAGATTTTCAGTATCACCAGAGGGGCGACCGTTCTTTCTCAGACTCTCTACGAGATATTTTTTGTTGCTTACGTTGCTGTGTTCTCATTGGTGCAGAAGTTAGCAGGACTTGGCAGGTGATCAAAGAAGTTAGCAGGGCTTGGCAGGTATTCAAAGGAGTTAGTCTGTGGCTAGTTTGCAACGAAAATATCTTGAGAGAGGCTGAGGCACTGAGATAAGTTCAATCCATTCATGAATTTAATGTGGGATGGTTGATCTTCTCATTGTGCGATCGCTAGCTAACTATATATAGGGGTAATCACGTGCGGTGGAGGGCCGCCTGGGCAACTAGTGCCCAACACCCCCCCACGCGCCAACGTGCGTGATGTGTTCCTACGAATCTTCCATGCTAGCTATCTCAACTTGGATCATCCCAAAATCATGCTACATACAGAAATTTAATCATTCTCACTGTTACCAGCGAAAAGTCCTAGTAAATCAATGAAACGCCTAAATGCCACTGTGCCCAGAGGTTTGGTTAATCCGTCTGCTACCATATCCTCAGTGGGAACGTGTTTAATAGAAATAACGCCTTCGTTCAATTGCGTGCGAGAATAGTGGAAGCGAGTGTCGATATGCTTGCTGCGTGCCGTGATCGCGGCAACGGTAGCTAGGTCGATTGAACCTTTGTTATCTGCCCTGATAGGCAAGGGGTCCTTTGCTGTAACGAATCCTAGTTCCATCATCATATTGCGCAACCACGTTGCTTCGCGTACTGCTTCGCTAAGTGCCACGTATTCTGCCTCATTTGAACTTAAAGAAACACAAGGTTGTTTGGACGAACGCCATGAAATTGGTGCACCTGCTAACTTGAATATGAAGCCTGAAGTAGATTTGCGTTCGCCGTTCAACGGTCCTGCCCAATCCGAATCTGTATAACCTATCGGCAGATATGACGCGTTGGGGAATTCATCGATCTCGTTCTTGGGGCCTTCGTATAAGATGCCAAGGTCGCTCGTTCCTTTTAGATATTGTATGACGCGGAGGAGAGCCCTCCACGCCTTAGGTGTAGGCGCAGTATTCTTCTGCGCTAGTAGGGATGCTGCTCGCGCAATATCTGGGCGTAATTTGACTGCCAGATACTGCAAGCACCCTACTCCGTGTTGGTATCGCTTTTTGGTGAACCCTCCTTCTCGTTCTGACACAGGGGTATCGTCTATCTTCAACCCTTCAAGTATTGGTGTAGGGACAGGGACGGCGTCATCTAGGCGGAAATCTTGCACTAAACGATCGATATAGCGTCTCAATGTCAATTTTATAGCACCATCAGGCGACGTTCAACCTCCATGCCTAAGTATTTTTGAAGGTTCTTTTAAATCCTTTATTTCTAATTTATTGGCGAGGGTGTCAACTAGCCCAAATCGGCATCTGCCCGGATCCTCTGCTATAATATGAAGGTCGTCCACGTAGATTGTCATATAAAGGTGATTGCGGGACGTGTGGCGCCATAGAGCAGGGTCGTAGGGGCTAGGTTTGAAGCCATTCTCGCGGAGTAATGCCGTAAGGAAATCGTACCAAATCTTAGCAGCAGGGGTCCAATCCGTATAGGGAGCCTCCGACAGCGCAAACCATCGCGTGTGGAGTCCCCACCTCAAATCCGGTAGGTTGCCGCATATAAATCGTTTTACCAAGTCGGCCGTGTAGGTAGGCCATCACTATATCGACCTGGCGCAAGGTCCAACCTCGCTTCGCTGCTATCGCGAACATCATGCGATTAGTAGCGTCATTAACGACGGGCGCGTATGTTTCTTCGCGTGCGCTTTTCTTTAACCAATTACCGCACACTACCCATCGAGATTTTCGTAATATACCATCAGGATCCGCGTTGGGATCCTGGGGGCGATCTTTTTCGACATAAACCCAGCGGCCGGGGGCCACTGGCTCACCAGAAGGGACGTCAGAACGTGGGATCATTGTCCAAGTGTTCCTTCGTTCCAAATCTGCAATCTCGCGTTCCATCGATTTCTGCCAATATTACGCCAACCCCCCCAGGTCTACTAACGGCATCCTTATATCCTTTCGGAACGGAACCGGTGAGGGGAGACAGGATACGTAGGTGGCGAACGCTTTCGCTGGTCTTACCCATCCCCTCGGACGTCCAGCTAATTCAGGAACGGTAGTATCATCAACAAGATAAGTCGCTGGACTTGCAGGTTCGGGTGTCGTGTGGTTAGTGTCATCCTGCGAGGTTGTAGGTTCCTTTGCAGGGAAAACGACATCACTGGTGACAATTATTTTATCAGTTGTAGGACTCCAGAGGCGGTAGATTGAGTTACCACGGAATCCTATAAGTTTAAAAATTTCTGCTCTAGCGGACAGCTTGTCAGTAGGTTTTTGAGATCCATGAAGGTGCGCTTAAACATCAACACCTAGCTCCCTAAAATGGCGAAGTTGGGGCGGGGCGTTGGTTAGTGCTGAGAATGGGACCGTATAGGGGCATCGCGCAGGTGCTTCGTCGGCGTTGTTGGTAGGCCAGTATTTCTCATTATACAGGGTGGTAGATGTTGGTGTGTTGTTGGTAATTGCAACCACCGTTTCGAGAACGTCTGCCCAGAACTTCTTCGGTATATTCATGCCTAAAAGCACTGCCCTTGCGCGTGTCATTATCGTACGGATTCCTCTCTCAGAAACACCATCTTGGTGGGGAGATTGGGGCGTAGTAGGTTCCCAGATAGTGCCATCTTTGGTCATCATTGTTGTCATCTTGTTAGATCGAAAGACACCATCGATATCAGTCCTAACTAGCGCCGGTGGCGTGAAGCCGAGATTTTTCATGAATTGGACCCAGTGAGCGTAAATTTCGACAGCTTGGTCCTTGGTATGTAAAAAATAGATCCACCTGTAGCGGGTGGCGTCATCGGTGATGAGCATATAATATTTGGTCCCTTGACGAGATTCGATAGGGTAATCGGACATGTCATCCAGCGTACGACCACCGCCAGCAAGGTCGATATGAACACGTTGCATTGCTCGCAACGCTCGTGGCATGGGAGTTTGCGAGAACTTGCGTGTCATGCCTGCTTTGACGCAGCTATCGCAGAAGAAGCCTGTTTTAGATCCTTTGATGCGGATGCCGGATGATGGGTCCTTCGCTAGTGCAATGATCGCGCCAGCGTGGATATGCCCTAGTGTGACGTGCCATTCCATGAGTGTTCTTGTCAGGGGGTTGCGATCGCTAGGTTGATCGTTAGGTTTCCCCGCGATTGTCGACATTGCGTCCCCGTAATTGTAAGATTTGGCCATAAAATGGACGGCCTGGGACGGGTGATGGACGTCTATTTGAGATTCTCGTTCTATTATCTTGTAGACCGATTCTTTGGACGTGCGAACAGCGGTGAAGTTGGCACCGTTCGGGGCCCTTATTGTAAAATAGGAAGGGGTGGTATCTGATAGTTGGTATCTGAAGCCTTGATCTTCTAGCTTCGCAAAGGATAGAAGGTTGACTGTTAGATTGGGGATCCAGTGGACGTAACCCACTGAGATATCCCCCCCTTCTGATTCTAGAAGGATATCACCTATCTCCTCAACCCGTCCTACGCCACCGTCCGCGGTAGTAATTTCTAAATCACCTTCGAACGACTTTGCGCGCACCAACGAGTGCCTTTCACCCGTCATATTGAAGCTTGCGCAGGTGTCGAGATACCAAGGTTTGGATGTTGTAGCGGACGACGTAGATAAAGCAATTGCTGCGTTGGCATTAGGTTGCGATGCAAGGAGATCTGGCGCTCTGGTGCCAGTAGGTTTGTCGTCATCCTTGTCCTTCTTCTTATCCTTTCCCTTCTTTTTGGCACCTTCAGTGTTGTCAGTGCCCTTATTATCCTTATTCTCTTTCCTCCACCACTCGGGTGCTTTGTCAGGGTTCAGATGATAGCAATTAGCCTTTATATGCCCTGGGACCTTGCAGTATCCGCACTTTGCGGTTGCGGCGGAAGTTGTGTTGTCATTATCATTGGTGGCCGCGTTGGCCTTTGGAGCTTTAGGGCGTCCAGTACCCTCTGATTTACTCATCCGGTGAGCAATTTGTTTTGTGAGATCGTTGATATCTAGGTTGACAATCGGACCCTGACCCGTCCCGTAGAACGTATCGAGGCGTGATTTAACATAGGTCCTCTGATAATCTCGGAGGCCGATAATAAAGAAATCATGGAGGTAGTTCTCACCACGGTCCTCCGTTAGTTGTCGCATGCGAGCAGACAGGTATTGATATCGGCGTACGTACGCCAGGTAATCACCGTCCTTGACATGCAAGTGGGTAAATTCTTTAAGGATGTTAATCCTTTCTTCCCCTAGGGATATCGCGTATACTGCGCTTACCTTGTTCCATAGGGCCGCCGCGTTGTCGGGTTGAATGGATCCCATGGTCAAACGGACAGAACCTACTAGGGATTGCAACATGCGACGGAAGAGAAGTTTTGAACGTATCACCCAATATCGCTGATCGAGCGATGATAAACCTTCAGGTGGTTCCTGTTGGTTCTTATTAAGAATATCTGCACCACCGATCACTTCTGCATCTGACAAGAACGCCATCTTCCACGTCTGGTAGTTGGTGCCATCGAACGTGGTGACGGACTTTGTGTTCAACGAGGCCTGCGCTTCCTTCTGGTATTCGCGAGCCAGCATGTTCGGATCTTCTTCTGGTATAGGGTTCGGAGGAGGTGGAGGAGGTGGCGGCGCGCGTGCTGATATCAGTCGCTCGCAGAGTGCAATGAGATCTGCTGCTGCCATGGTCACCATGCCGTTAGGATTCGGCGTAGGTATCGGCATAGGACTGGGCGTGCCATCCTCGGATTCCTCGCGTTCTGGCATCTTGCCAGTATCGCGTGCGGAGCCAGAGGTTGTCATATCTTCCTCTGCCATCGCGTATTCAGTTTGATCACCCTCCGCTTCTGAGCCGGATTCTTGCTCAGTAATAGGGGGGAAGGATTGGGGGACCCTTGATTGCGAACGTAGTGTCTTCTTACGTCCTGATATTGGGGTCGCAGGTAATCGAGAACCACTCATAATCAATCTGACTTAGGGAGGTTCTGAATGAAAATAAATAAATAAGTTTTTGATCCCTTCAAGATAGTAATGAAATCTCTGCAGCAGTCTCGACAGCAATTCCGTCAATTACACCACTTTTATAGGCAAAGAGCTCTCTTTTCAGGGGAATAATGTTTAACTCATCCAATATAACATCAGTCGCAGCGTATTCTAATCAAAACGTCTGTTTTTCTTAAAAATCTGCAATCCGGGCCATAACCTGTGGGATGGTTGATCTTCTCATTGTGCGATCGCTAGCTAACTATATATAGGGGTAATCACGTGCGGTGGAGGGCCGCCTGGGCAACTAGTGCCCAACATTTAATGAGGTGCACATGATATCACGTGAGGTCACGTTACAGTATTTTTTTCACAGAAAAAGTTGGTTTTTCTATAATATAAAGAGAGATACAGAAATACAAATATTAAAGAATTCAACTTTCAATCTGCAGAATTGACAGTTAATTACTTCTGCAGAAATCAAAGTATTTCTTGAACAGATTATCTATATAAAAGTGTATAAATCTCTAATAATTGAAGATTATTGAAATAAAAATGATACTCAAAGACCTGTTCATTCATCAAGATTTCATATGAAACAGAGATGATTTGAGCAGATCAAGAAATATATTCATATATTTAATTTTTACAAATTGAAATCTTTCTTCATTCAGAAACTAGAGTCTCTATATTTAAACTTTCATACAATATATTAAAAATACTTGTAAGAGATGGGCTATAAGAGTAATTATAAGAGTAATGTGAAGTATGCACAAAGGATATTAAAAAGATAGCAATCTCTATTATTTAAAGTTAATCACTGATCTTCTAAGATTTATGAATATCAGTGAGTATTATATAAACAATATTGTGTTATAAACCTGCGGCACGGACCGGGGCTTATTGGATAAGAACCGAAGGAATGCAGGAACGGAACAACCCACAACCGACGCTAGTATGAGGTCACGTGACTGATCACCCTGATCACCGTGCTCACCATGATCACCGGTGAGCAAAGTGAGCAAGTGAGCAGAGCGAGCAGGATATTTTGTATGAGGACTCAAATGTATTTAAACACACTCATTACCCTTAGGATCAAGGAGCTTATCTTCTTGATCACGATCAATCTTACTTTTCTTATTAACTCGCCCTACTACCCCTTTACTTATACTCAAGTTACATAGTACGACTATAAGTTCACCTTAAGTATACTTCTTCACGACGCATACCTTAAGTATCCGCCCTACCTTGTGAGCCCTACTAGGTATCCTTATTGTTTACCTTAGGCCGCCGCCGTAGCTATCGCTAGTCATCCTAGATATTCCTCTTGACGTTATATCTTAACCTGTGATAGTGGCACTACCTCCTGACTCAGTGAACAAGCTCAGCAACACTATATAAGCCCCGACCTTACCTTATACCCAGTGAGAAGCTTGCTGAGTTAGAGACTCGGTAGCATATTGCCATTATATTATATTTATCACAATTGATTCTAATGTGTTCTGTGCTCTTCTATCATCACATAGCTATTTTCTAATATAGATACTTTCATTACATCTATTACAATTATCTTTCTTCTTCAAAAGCCTGATCTTCAGGGCTTCTCATCATAACATATGAAGTTTATAATATAATATATGTTGTGTAGTTGATGTTGTATAAAATTCGCAGAATAGAACTGAATTAATTGTGGAAATATGATGTTGTCTTAGAAAAATGTTTCTTCAGCTCTGATGTTATTGCAGTTCAATCATGATTTAAACACAATCTCTGAACCTTTTTTCTTTAACATTTACATCAAAAATCATATTCTAATGAAATCATCACCAACATCACCACTAACGATTTTTTATTTAAAAGAGAATATGTCAATTTATCAAGCAAAATACACTGTATCTTCCCATGCGATTTTTATTGTGAGATTCGAAGTTTTGATTGTGTGGTTGTGTTTTCTATTTTGAGTCGGATTTTGTGTTGCTGCAATTTTTAAATAATTTAGTAAACAATCGGACGGTGAGTACGCGGCCGCATGCGGCCCTCGCCTTCTGGGCATCCCCGAACGGGCCTGGCCTGCCGTCGCGGACGCCGCCCATTGGCCCACACGGCCCTGCCGTCACCCCTTCGGGTTTGGCGCGCCCTGACCTCGCCGCCCTGTGCTGGAATATCTATATAAACCCTTCTCATCCCGCTTTCTCCTTTCCCCTTCCCACTTACCCCTTCCCACCTTCTCAGCCCGCTGTCCTGGCAGGAAATAATCTGCTGATCTCCATTGCTGAACTGTTTCACTGTCACATTTTCCTCATCAGAGAAAAATAATCCCTCTGCCCTTTTCAAATCTCTCAGATCTGCGCCTTCCGCTCTGTTCTGTCTTCTCAGCAAGCCATGTGAGTCTGGAGGATTACAACTACGTGCGTCGTGCTTGAATTCTTCATTTCCTCACTCACCTTGTGCTGTTCCTTTGTTCCTAGACATCTCAAACTGCGCTCCCTCGCTCTGTTACTGCTGTGATTCATTTGCATTGCATTGCCTTCACCCTCCTCCTTCACCCTCCTCCTTCTTCCGTTCGAACTGCCATTCGGCGCATGCGCATCATGCCATCGACCAATGGCAAAAATCCCTCACGACGGCGGAGTTTGAGATTGCCTTCATCCGACACCCCCACCTGTGGCGTAGCGAGATTACGAGGAATGCGGCTGTACGCTGGGATATGACATGGGAGGTGTGCGCCTGCAACTGCGGGCGCATGCTCGTCGTACTGTTGACCAATGGCGAGGTTCTGGATATGTATATTCATATTCTTAAACCGTAATAAACCATACTCTGCATGTCCACTGGAAATTCACGTCTCAACAGAACCCTGTAGCTATCTAGAAAGCCGTCTGGCTTGTAACAGGGGGCATTTGCCGCAATGCCGAATGCGAACTATGACATGCGAAGACCGTCAGCAACCTCCTCCTCGAACACCAAGCGCGGCAACAATACGTCTCCGCAAGATGAAATCATGGAGATCCATAGCCGGGCGCTCGAAATGATTGAAATATTTAAACGAATGTCCGCGATACTCGAGACGATAGAAAGAGGGAGTAAAGAACAATATGATGCCGATCTACGGGCCTCTGCGAAAGAAAATCGGGATGTAGCACGTAACATTTGAGTGCCGGTAAGCAATATTTCCATATTCAGTGGGCTTTATTGCTGACCGTTCAGCAAGGTACGTCGAGAATGAGTACAATGAATGAAATGAATGGGAATTGACATCGGGTTATTGAGATTGTTGGTTCCTTGCCAAATCAGACGCGGAAGACAAAGTGACTTTCTGAAACCCAATTGTCATTGCTGGTTGATGTGTAATTCAGGTACGAGTTGCTGTTACTGGATTATCTAGACCTAAACATTCGGATCTTTCCAGCTGTGTAGTTCTATTCTTAGATGTAAAAATTAAAAATATGTGAAATTAATTGGTGAAATAAAAATAAAAATATATTTGGACAGTTCAATCCACAGGCAAAAAGAAGAACAATTTGACAAGAAGGCAACAACACCTTCAGGCTGTTTCTCAAGGGCCCGTTTCCAACTCTGCTCAGACGCTGCTCTGGACGTTTGACCCTGTTGTCGTAGAGATATGCCCAGTCCAGCCACTGTTATTACAAGGTCGTTTTATGCCCTTCTGACGGATTGACCTTTTCAAAGATCCAACCCGCCTTTTCTTTGGGCGCCGGTCTATGTCGGACCGGTGAAAATCTATGATCAGAACCCGGCGCAGTTCGTTATTCCATAACATGTTGGCAGACCGCAGGTCTTTATGTACCACTCCCAGCATGCGGATTTCCCTCTTCGACCTGGAAACCTCACGACTTAGCACTTCCTTGTCTTTGACGTTCTCTATACTTTCCCCCGCCCAACCCATGAGAAGCATATGGCGGATGTCCCCAGCACCATGGAGGAAAAGGAACAATTTCAAATCAATCGTCCCCAGAAATACAGGGACAGCAGAACCCTGTGCTTTCTGAAGAACCTGGTATATTTCTGCTTCACGTGAGACAACTTTCCATAACCCGGCTGTTGTCCCCTTTCCAACAAGAGTGTAGCCATATGCAGCACAAGTGATCTTGAAGGGTGCACCATACGATCCACAAGTCCCAAATGGTGTGCAGTTATGATCAAGGTCACGATCGAGCTGTTCATTCAGTATTTGTACAAGCTTCCTTGCATCGATACAATGTCGATCATCATTCTGACCTCGCTGGTGGAGAGAAACATTTGGGCATTGATGGTCCAATTCACCTCCTTGTTGCAAACCCAATAAGCATCGCTGTGTACAGTAACGTGCCGTGTGTTGGCTCTGGCCGCTCGATGGCCTAGGACCTGCTGGGCGCGCCGATGAACGCTGGTTGGGCGGGGAGGACATCACTTGGCTGAAGCCCCGCTTCCGGCCGTGCGCTGCTTGGTTAGAGTCGGAGTCGGAAGAATCCATATGATCATTCAAAGGCGAGGTATCCATTGGTGCACAGGTGGTTTGAGATCGGGTAGAAACTCGACGGCCGGGCTGTAATGGAGACGATGGCAGATGTTCAGAGGGCATATATTCCGAGCTTGCATATTCCGATCCTGGAGGAGTTTGTTGCAGCTCGTCATCGGGGATTTGCGACCGTGTAAAGTCAAAACTTGTTTTCCATATATGGAGCTGGGATCTTGCAGCATTCCGCCACTTCTGGTCACGGATATCCGAGAGAAAGGACATCAGACAGAGACATAATATTCTGGCAATAGCTGTTTTTGACTGATAAAAGACCCCAGGATTTTCTGAAATCACATCCATGTTTGGTTCACAGAGATAGTAATAGAGTGTACTAGGGTCGCTGTATGGAACACGAAGAAGAACGATAGCAAATCCATTAGTTATGTAGGAGTACTCCAGTCCAGCTTGGATCATGACATGATACTCCTGAACCAAAACTGAGCAAGTCAGCTGTTCCGCATTATATCTCAGCTTTTCATCCTTGTTCAGCTCATCACTCTTGGGGATTGTGTCTGACTGAACAATCTCTTCCCAGAGCTTCATCGATCGAAGACCCACTCGGAGATTTTCAACCGAGAGCTTGTGTGGCGGCTTATACTCGACTGTTGTAATCAAAGTATTCGTGGAATCGTTGATCCGATGAATACAGAATGAATCTGGTTTGGGATGCTTTGTGCTGGATTCATCAAGCAGCTGTACATCTGACTCTTCTGATGTCTGTAGAAGATTTTCATGATTTTCAAACAGGATCCCATCTCCAAGCCGGAATCTCTCTCGGGCATCAGGTATTTTGCATAGCTCGGCTATGATATCATGGACATGATCTTCCACAGCGGTTCGCTCGTAGTGTTCCAAATCCTTTTCACTTCGTAGTTTTCGGCTAGAATACCGCCGACCAAGTTCATTTAGCACAAGAAGAGATGTGAATAGCCGAGGTGCGTCTTTTTCAGCTGGCTGGAGGTAAGTGGAAACCGAATCATAAATTTCTTGCAGTTGAGCCAGGCAGTTTGACCAAAAGCAAAGACTTGTTGGGCAGTATTTCCCAGTGGGTAGTGGAATACTCCCCTTCGTGGAGCGGGATGGCGTTCCAACCTGCAAAGGCCGGGAGAATGAATCATGACAACCTTTGATGAGCTCTTCGAGTGTTGTCGGCTGGCTGCGCACTTTTTCCTCTGCCTCTCGCTCTTCTGCCTGCCTTCGCAACTCTGTTTCCTGCCTTCGCAACTCTGCTTCCTGCCTTTCTCGATCTTCTGCCCGCTTTCGTTCCGCTTCCGCTCTATGGAAGAGAGCCTTGTAATCTGGTGAACTGTTATCGGCCATTAGAGAGGGATAAAAGAGTTATATCAAAAAGCAAAAGTGGGTACCAGGAATTTAGTGGCATAGCGATAGGCGATGACGAGCTAGCCACCTCGCCCAAAATAACACGGATCAACGTTTACCCTAGTCTCAGAAGAAGCGATATGGGCCTAGTCTACTATTTCTTGTATGTACATACATCTGTCCATATCTGTTTCAAAGAGAAGGGAGAGGAAAGTGGGGTGATCGATCTTATGGACTTCTGTTCTATGCTCTTTGGCATTTGGACAGGCTCCATCCAGCGGCCACCCATTCAAGAGACCAAGCAAGCACTTTTGCGTGCAACGCCGAGTTCCATCCTTACAGACGGTTCTTTGCTTTTCAGTGGCTTGTAAGGTGTTGGAGGCTTCTCATCCGTTTCCGGCGCTGGCAAATATAAATCTTCTTCTGTAACCATCCATACTTGAGCCTCACACATGTTAATAGACCTTTCCAGATTTAGTGACTACTCTGTATGGAGGTCCCTTTCAAAAGTTCATTCCCTGCCTAGTAATCTATATGGTTTTCAAATTACAATCATGTAGCCTCTGATCAGTTACAAAACGACGTATATACGATCCTCTGTTCCAGGACTACTTTTGGGGAACGGCCAAAAACATAATTCAAGGGTGAAGAAGGTGCAGTGGATTCGAGAGATCTGTTCGATGTCATAACCAAGACAAACACATTCTTGTTCCGTTAGGCAATAACATTCCAGAAACACTTCTCCACACACTATGCCAAGAATGTCCAAGAAAACACTCTGTCACATGATGAAAGATTGCTGTGTCAGCAATCTTTCCCACCAAACCCCGCTATTTACCAATATGATATTTTTGCAACTGTTCTGGAGCAAATACTGATTTTCATGAAGACAGATAAACTAGGAGGAGAGCTTTGCACCCCATATCTGGTATTGATAAGTTTCTAAAACCTCAAGACTATTCCCCGGTGAGACCCAATATGCATTAAGCCTTCATCAGCCAAGGTAGTGTTTATTCTCTTGAAACTACATATATTCAGGCTAACCTAACCATGCCAAACAGATCCATACTGCATATTCTTCAACAAGTCATTTTGTTATAATGCCTACATTGACAGAGTGCCATCAAATTTCAGAAGAGGGAAACGAAAAACTCAAAGAAGTTACAAGATGCCATTTTGACTGGCAAAGCAGTTGTTGAGATGACTGAGAGCAATGGAAATGTGAAATATGCGAATGAAAGCCTCAATGATTATGTTGTTCCTCTTCTAAAGGAACTGAAGCTCGGTGTAAGTGAGCACCTTCCCAAACCAGACATCAATCTAACGCCCCGCTTCAAGCACTTCGGCTACACTGCATGGCGAATTTCCACGCGTATACCCATCGCCAACAAAACCGGCCCTGAATACATTATCCCGATCAACAAAATATCTGGCGATCCGTGTCTGCTTCCCGGTGGGTCCCTAGATCCCGGGACATATATATACCATGACGGAACTAGCGAGCTTCTTCCAACACTAGTGTGTCTCTTTGTCGGTCGTCCACGGTAGGGCTGAGATCGCAAGTATTAACGTCAATATTCATCGGGTATGAAGAGGGCAGTTGGCTTGACACTAGTAATACTATACGGGTAGAATTTGGCAGTCAGCATTGAAATTGGGTAGATCCTCCGTTTGCATGTAGCGTGACTGATTGAAATGTGATTGACTGTATATTTACCAAAGTCCCCATTTCCATGTATCCCGTTTTGCATATACATAGAAGGGTCGAAAGGGGTAGTTGAACGTCCCACCTCATCATCATATGGCAAACTCCCCATCTGCATATAACGGTAAGGGTCGAAAGGGGGATTCGAACGTCCCGTCTCATCATATGGCAAAGACCCTATCTCCATATAGCTAGAAGGGTCGAAAGGGGGAGTTGGATGCCCCATATCATCAATATTAGGATCGAAAGAGCCAGCTGGATGTTCCACTCCTCTAGCACTTGGTAAGGTTCCCATATCCATGTATCCTGAGGGGTCAAAAGGGCTGGTTGGATGCTCCTCTGTGCCATGAGGGTAATCCTGGGGAGCCATCGACTGCTCCATATTAGTATTGTATGACTCAGAAGAAGTCAAAGTGTGTTCTCTGTCCAGGCTCTTTGTCTGATCTCCAGAGTGACCTAGGTTGCTCGCAGCAATTGCCAGAGAATCCAGTCTGGTATAGATTATCGGGGAAGCTGGCTGGCTTGGACTCGGGGAATCCCCTGTTTGGTTGGATGGCTGGCACGGGTTATCCAGCAGTTCGGAAAGGGGTTTGGGCGTGATGGTACCATTGTCTTCCCAGCTCAGGTATTTTCTCACTATGTCCAACAGACGGCTAGGAGCGTCTCTCAAAAAGGCATAGGTGTAGTCCTCTTGTCCATAAGTTATCAACCCATCAAGTATGATTTTTGCTGCCAATCTGCATTTCTCGATCCTATTTTCCTTGAACTTTTGAAGTTGAAGCCACTTGGTGAATAAGTTCCGTTGCGTGTCCCTCAAACGATGTTCGCATCTGGCAATGTCAGCTAATGGTTAATAAACTAATAAAGAACAGGCTAACTCACAAACCCGAGACATTAAGGTCCAGCTCGAATATAATAGCTGGACCAGCTTCTTGCATCAACTTAGTATAGCCCTTACCCCGTCGCCACCATAGTTTCACTTTCTCCAAATCGCAACCCCATTCTTCAGCAATCAATTTGTATGCGTCAGTAATGTGTTTGTTCCCACCTGCATAGTCCACTACTGCCAAGGACTTATACTCAATCTCATGGACTGAATAGATTAATGAAAGGCGTTGTGCAAAAATATTGTTGGTTATGTTTTCTTCTGCATTTGTTATAAATTTACGCAAGCGTCGTCCTGGTGTTGAAAGTGACCGATCAATGAGACCTTCAGTAGGTCCCAAAATCTCTTTGCATGATGTTGGCAAAGGCTCATTTTTGTAGGCCATTTTTAATTCCATCCATTGGCAGAGTACAGGCGATTTCTTTTGTTTATCCGTGTCAAAGTTTCCTCGTCTTTTCTTGGGGGGACGACTTTGAGGCTCGTGTGAACTGTTTGAAGGTGGTAGGGTATTATTCCGGCTCATCCCAACCCTTGGATTGGAAGGGTTGGAAGAACTGGTGGGGCACGGCAACGGGCATCTACCCGCTGGCTGGTGATAGGGACTGGAAGAGGCCGAAATGGATGAACTAGTAGGACATGATGACAGATTCTCTCTGTACGCCAACTGCTGATAGGGGTTGGAAGCGATCAAAGAACTGGGTGGATGTAGCACTGGTTCTTTGGATAATACAGGCCGAAGAGAAGGTAATCGTGAGGAAAGCTGATCCAGCGATGAAGCCTGAGTAGACGGTAACTGAGGGAGAGAGAAATTTGCATTATTCGAGGGTCTGTATTGTGCTGGAATGAGCTTCCAACACTGCTCTGGAGCTCCTCTAAGAAAAAAAGGTGAAAATCCCGTTTAGAATCCTATGCTCAGGTCAGAAAATAACGTCTAATCTAGGATGTGTTAATTACCTCTGAATCAAGAACTACCGAGGGAGAGAGTTTCTGTAATACTTGCGAAAGAGTGCGAGCCTCCATATTTTCAGTCTCAATCTTTTTGAGAAATATATTGGAAGGGCAATGTGCTTGAGAAAGAGGGGAGATGCAATCAGCCAGGCGTTTGACACGCCTCTTGATCATATCACGTGCATACAACGCTCAGCGTCGTATGCACGTGATTTTTCTCAGCCAATGGTGACCTGGTAGAAAAGCGATGCTGGCATTGTCTCACCCCCATTGATCCTAGCTTAATGCACATTCATTCTACGGAGTATTGGCCTACAATGTAAGCCTGGCGCAGCCTACAATTGGATAAGCAATTTGAGCAGCGTCTAGTGACATAGTGTCCTTTTGGAAGGAACTACGGAGTAGGGTGCTCCGGCGAACTAAACATGGTGTGCAAGTTCATGCTTGACTGGTGTGGGCTTCCCATCATGCTATGGGGGAAAAATATAGCCTGCCATCGTTGTTTTGTGGCTCTCCGAAGTTGACGTGCCATAGACGGGCCATTTCCCACCCTCGTACAGTCCAGACTGTCGATCGAAACGATAGTCATCAAACTGAGAAATATGATCTGCCATGTACTTGCATTATGCTCACATGGATTTCTTTTCATTAGTGGAGTAAATTTGGTAGCACTGACGGGTCTGGTGGACTCGGATATTGTTTACCTAGATTGTTGTCGTTGTTGTCTTAGATTGTTGTCTTTGTTTTCCTAAATTTGGGCTCACACACTACTCCCATGACCCGCCAAGTTGGATGCATAGCTGCTTTCTCCTTGGATTCCCAACAGAAGACAACCCTCTGTTCGGAAAGAATGATTACTGATGTTGCATTATAGTTGCTTTGACCTCTACAGCATCGCCAACACTACTCGGTTTCTCCTCGCCAACGCTGCATACTGTGGGATGAACTTTCCCCAAAAGCAGCAGCTGCACCGTGATGGCGTAGACTCCAGCAAGAGTGATATTGAGCCTGAAAATGAGCCTTTTGGACTTCCTTTTCCCATTGAGGACAGCTTTAACAGATATCACATCGTGGTCGATGCTGCTTTTGTACTCATCACCTGGGCTATTGCAGTACATGCGGGATGATGGCTGCCACAGCAAAGCCCAATAACCAGGAGTATGCAAAGTGCAGTCAGGGGCGCCAGGTTGTGTCGAGGGCACGGGGAAAGGATATCTCAATCCGTGGAAGGCGAGTGCGATATACATGTCCAGCTTGAGTCCGTGCCATCCTCATGCAAAGGGATCACAACAGATTAATAACAATAGTGTAACTATTTGTACAGGTTCTGGACAGCTCCGTCCAACATTTGCTGAAGTTAGGATAGCATTACCCCTTGTATCGAAAAAGCTATATTCGAGGCGCACAGAGAGTCGCTGCCGGATAGTTATAAACCACAAGACATCTCTCCGCCGGATCATTTCAAAATGGACCAACTTGGCTGCCTTTTCTTACAAAATGTATCCTAACATCTCATATGCGCTTCTGTCGGCGGCGCTCATCGTGCTAAGTACGGTGCATCTCATCTTGCTTACCGTTCACCGCCCCCAGCCTCACCGTTCGCCTGAGATATCAATCTTTGTTCTCTTTATCTGTGTCAATGCCGTTGTCATTGGTGTTAGTCTATCAGGCTTAAGGCACGGGGGTGAGCAGTCCCTTCTACCGAGATGGTGATGATAAATGCTAAATGCTTGTTTCAGATACGCCAGCATTTTACTATCCCCTGGCAATATGTACAGCATTTCCGCTAGCCCTTGAGGTGTGTTATTCCCAGTCCCCTGCTTTGGTCCCTGCTAACCGTGATGTCTAGATGATTCGGCTGAGCAAAATCCAGGCCGGACCACTTACGGACGCCCTCCTGCATCGATTATTTTTAGGGTATTGTTTTCTGTCCCCTGCGGTAAAGCTCGGGTTGATCTTATGGGGTGCTCTTCCCCCTAGTCTTGATAGGCCTTTGCTCATTGAGTTAGCTCGGTCGCCTATGAAGCGTTGGTAAAAGGTACAGCTGTGGCTGTATCTATCGACTACACGGTCCTCGCGATTGCCGGTCTGCTTTTTTGGTGCGGAATTCGCGGTATACCATCTCAGGGGTCTATTATCTGTGAAGTTGCAATCCATACACTTCTCGTTATCATAACGGCAGGGTTTGCTGCAGGTGGACTTGTCCACGACTGGCCCCTCTGGATCGAAGTAAGTTCAGTGAAACCATGGATGTCGCTCCAACGTGTGCTGATATGGATCTAGGTAATGTTGATTATCACTATTGGTGCCTATCTGGCTCGAAATATTCCCACCCTGTCTGGCGAGCCGGGGAACACAGTGCCGTTACCGAACCCAGACGACACATCCAATCTAGACCAGCTCAGGCCCCACCAAGAAAATCGTTCTGCTCACCTCCCTTTCATTCCAAGCCGTGATAGGGCCATGGCGATGATAAAGACCGTAGTGGGGTTTGGCACCGGGGCCACATCAATGACCGAGGACTACACACAACTAGACGAGGTTGGGACGGCTCGCCCTGAATCAGGACATTTGGTACATCATCCTCTCCTGTTTCTGCTGTGATGGTCTAACAGTAATTTCTAGAAAATTAAGGCGGTGATCTCAATTTACTATCCAGATCTGCCAATCTTGAGCACGGGGATATTTACTGTGCTATGCGAGGGACGCGAGGGGAACTATCTGCGGCACCTGAGATACCCTGAATTGACTGCTCGTAGCGACGGGAAAGCTGCGCTTCAATCGTTCCAGCCCTGATTTTTTAAATTCTTTTTTATTTTGCTTCTTTTTCCCCTACAACCCTTGTCCATGACTGGCCCCTCTACACTGTGCTGTTACATAGCTTCCCAGACAACATCTGATTTTTCCTGTTTCTGATTGCATTGGAATGTGGCTGCCTCTAGTCGTGTAGCAAGGTCCCATGCTCTTCTAAATTTACTTGCTTCTAATTGCTTGAACATTGAAGGGTTTTAGCTATTTCTATTTAATACCATAACAATATCAATTGACCTAACTTCCAGGTTTCATTTCTGCTCCCGCCTTGTCTTCTTTGCTGGGAAGCTTGTCATGCGGCTGGATGCTTCTTACTCTAGTCTTATAGCTTCAGAATAAGGATATTAAAGCTAAAGGCTCGAGCACAAATATCTTCAGACCTTATATGATATTCTTCACTTCATGGTCTGGTGAAGGTACAATTGAGTACACAAACGGTTTAGACACAGCAGCAAGCAAAGTAATTCTGGGTTTGAGAGGTATTGATCTTCTTAGGATGTTCTTTTCATTGTGTAGCTAACGCCTTTTCAGAGATGGACAAAGATTTGACCTCGGGCCAGCAAGTACGGAAAAGAGCAAGCACTGATGCGATGCGAAAAAATGCAGAGCCCAACAAAAGAACCAACAGATCTCAGGATCAAGATGACAACCAAATCACAGCACATGATCTATTGAACAAAATACAGGGAAAAAGCCAAATCAAGGAAGGATATGTTCAAAAAGCAGTTCGCCAACGTCTGAGACTCTACTGCTGCAGATGTGAGGAGGATGTTAGTGGTGGGGGGGGAATGTCGACGATGTGGCCATGCATCGTGTCCGGAGTGCTTGCACGAAAGGAGACTGTGTGGGGAAAAAAGATCAGTTGACCCATCACACGAACTGAACCAAGCGAATAGCCGTCATGATACTCAAACAAATCTCCAAAAAAGCTCAGTCCCGGCGATCCGTCTTAGCCAAGCTATCGATAGTGATGGGGATCCAGAAGCGCTCTATATGTTGCCCTACACTAAACTGAAGCAGAAACTGGAGAAAGATGCAACAAAAATGGAAGACCTGGGTTAATCGAGCCATCAAGTGCTGCTACTGCGAAGGAACTGGTTATCAATAGGATGATGGGAGTTTCTGTTGCACCTGTGGCAGAACTTGAACCACTGCCGCCTCTACTGTCCACTGGGTCGGTCTCTGATTCCTCGATCTTACGAGTTCGAGTTGTTCGGGTGCTCATGATGGAAGTGTAGCGTCGGATAGTTTGCAAAGCTGGGATGACCTCTGAGGAGAAAAGGGAAGATGGAGCGATAGAAGCAAAGTGGGAGGAGGGCTGGCTTTATATGCCTTCGGACCTACGCTGCCTCTCCCCCCCCCACAAGACAAATTGGGAGC